TTAGGGGACTGGTGGCTAAAACATATAAGGAATGGTTGCAGGAATTGGGTATGTCTAGTTTCATGAAAAGAAGGACTAGGGGTGACATGATAGCAGTCTTCCAGTATCTCAGGGGCTGCCACAAAGAAGAGAGTCAGGCTATTCTCCAACCCATCTGAAGGCAGGACAAGAAGCAATAGGTGGAAACTAATCAAGGAGAGAAACAACCTAGAACTAAGGAGGAATTTCCTGACAGTCAGAACACTTAATTAGTGGAACAACTTCCCTCCAGAAGGTGTGAATGCTCCAAACACTGAAAGTTTTTAAGAAGAGATTGGACAAACATTTGTCTGAAATGGTGTAGGGTTTCCTGCTTGAGCAGGGGTTGGACTAGAAGACCTCCAAGGTCCCTTCCAACTCTGTTATTCTGTTCTGTTTAAGCACAGAAGAGCTTATTATTGCTACCTCTAGTCAGCCAATGGTCAAAGCTAAATTGGTGCTAGGAAAGGATCAGCAAAATGCTTTGTTATTGGAATGCCACTTTGTGATTATTTTGTAGTTATATATTTTTATATTTATACTTGGTTAGTTTTCTATGTTTTGCTACTTTTATGCCTTTTGTTGTTGTTGGAAGCCAGGGTCATTTTAAGTCAGGGCACATCCAAATTGAATTAAACCACTCAATAAATTTGGCTGATGAACAGGTCTGTTTGTAATGTAGGGGCTTAATTTGCTATTCTATTCAGCACACACTTGCTGTGTGATATTTTGGCAATTTTTTTTTTTATGAAATCAAGACATATTGTATGTAGAACATTTCCACATACTGCAAAGAAAGTTCCTTGAATCAGGATGAGGTAAAGGTAATCTGCAAATTCTATAGTGATTGAATTACTGAAGGTTGAAGTAAACCCAGTAAAATAAAGGATTAGATTAACAGAAAGGATTAGATTAACAGGGACCTTGTAGGTCATCTAGTCCAACCCCCTGCCCAAGCAGGAGACCCTACACATTTCTGACAAATGGCAGTCCAATCTCTTCTTGAAAGCCTCCAGTGATGATGCTCCCACAACTTCTGAGGGCAACTTCTGTTCCATTGGTTGATTGTTCTCACTGTCAGAAACTTTCTCATTTCCAGGTTAAATCTCTCCTTGTTCAGTTTCCATCCATTATTCCTTGTCTGGCCTTCGGGTGCTTTAGAAAATAGCTTGACCCCTTCTTCCCTGTGACAGCCCCTCAAATATTGGAAGACCACTATCATGTCTCCCCTGGTCCTTCTCTTTACTAGACTAGCCATGTCCAGTTCCTGCAACTGTTCATTGTATGTTTTAGTCTCCAGTCCCCTAATCATCCTGGTTGCACACACTTTCTAGAATCTCAACATCTTTTTTATAGTGTGTGACCAAACCTGGATGCAGTATTATAGGTGTGGCCTTACTAAGGCTTTATAGAGTGGTATTAGTATATGTGTGACACAGGGGAGAGTCTCAGATCACTATCCAAGTAATTGAAGGCATCCATGCACACAGATACACAATCAAGCATTCTTACTGAGAATTAAAACAGCTCAGCTTAAATAGTTTAGAGAGTCCTCTATCATGACTCCATACCCAGCACAGATACTGTAATGGCACCAAGCTTGGTTGCTCTCCATAAATATCCATATGTTAAGCAAGATCAATTAAATCTCCTTCCCAAAATATATCTGCAAAGGAAACCTGAAAAGCAGAACTTTCCCTAACATTGTATTCCCTGAGAAATTCAATGCCCTAAAGCGATCTGAGGTGAAAAAGGGTTAATATACATAAATTATAGAATGAAGCAAGTGGGAGGTTCTGCCTTTTTTCACTTCCTCTTTCGGTTCCCTGGCAGGAAAGAAGAGACTTGGGAATTAGAGTGTTTTGGAGTCTCAACCGAGCTAGCTTCGTTATTGAAAGTGATCAAAGGAGCAGAACAAGATCTTGGAAAGAGGAAAAGTGGGAATCCTGAAACACTTCCCCATTCACTTTTTCAAGATCTTCCATCCAGTCTGAGATGGATGTTGGATGTTACCTCCAACGGATTGGATTCCAAGGTGCCTCTACCTTCCCTTCTTTGGAAACCCTCAAGTGCCTCCACCGTTCCCATCTCTTCTCCGTACCCTTTGAGAGCCTCAGCATCCATTGTAAAGAGCCCATCCACCTGGAATTGCCTTGTTTGTATGAGAAGATTGTCCAAAACCACCGGGGTGGTTTTTGTTATGAACTGAATGGACTTTTCCAGTGGTTGTTGCAAGCTTTAGGGTTTCACACCAAAATCTTAGCGGCACGGGTTTGCAACCGCTTCACGCAGTGTTATGGCCCTCCATTGGACCACTTGATAATTTTGGTAGACTTGGACGGACAGCAGTTTCTGTGCGATGTTGGGTTTGGAGAAGGTTTTGTGGAACCATTAGAGCTAAAGCCAGAGGTGGAACAAGCTCAAGAAGGAGGCATATTTTGGTTGAGTCTGGAAGAAGCTACCTGGGTATTGGAATGTCGGGAAATTGCTGGAGAGAGGGAGAGATTCCTCTATAAATTCACCTTAGAGGAGAAACAACTGAAAGATTTTTCTGACATGTGTCTTTACCACCAGACTTCACCCTGTTCTATCTTCACCTGCAAATCCTTTTGTTCCTTGCACAAAGCAGGTGGTGGACGTGTAACCTATATAGGTCAACGGCTCATTTTCACCACAGGAAAGGATCGTATGGAAACTGTCTTGCAGGACTCTGAGATTCCAGCTGTTCTCTTTGATCAATTTGGGATCAAAATGAAGAGCTTCGAACCCAAGGATGAACAAATCCTTCCCCCTCCTCAACAAGATTAACCAGTGGGAGAAGCAAAACAGTGATCTCTTTGAGATTGTAATGAAATATGGAATTGATCTATTAAGGATCTATGGATACCTCTTTAACGAGATTAATTCCTGGGGAAAGCAAAGGGTGATCACTTTTAGATTGTAATGAAATATGGAATTGGGCAGACAGTTCAATGAAGGATCTATTGAAGATCGTGCCCAAGATCATGTTTGTGGTTCTGTAAGTGTTAAGAGACAGCTCAACTGATTAAGTTTGGATATCCTACTGATTAGCACTTTAGTGTTATAGCAATTACTGCATTGTCATTTAGATTTTTAAAGAACCCTGCACGTGATTTTGCTTGTATTTGTACACTTATCAATGACTGCTACATAAAAGATGGACCAAGATGCTTTAGTAGTCTGTCAATCTACTTTTGTTCTGCTTTAAAAGAACCTGGGTGAGTTGGACTACAAATCCCATCTTTCCCAGAAGTATGAATGAGATATTATTTAGATTTTTTTAGGGTTACTCACAGTCGTGATCCATCCTGGGAAATTCTTGTGGTCCTTATGTTGTCAAATGCAAGCTAACATACCAGCTTTCCATTGTGACTTTCTCAAAAGCCATTTCCACAGTAAGAAACTGGATCCTATCCTATCCTATCCTATCCTATCCTATCCTAGCCCAGCCCAGCCCAGCCCAGCCTTCCTCTGCCAAATCTTCTGGACTCACTGCAGCTGACAATAAAACATACATTTCTTGCATCTCATTTCTTGCTTTTTTTTTTTACTTTTGCTTTGTACAGACACAAGTGCAACTTCTTTGGCAAGAGAGGTGGTCAAATTAAATTAAAGCTCACCCACAATAAGAAAAAAAACCCCACCCTTTCCTTCTAGTACATCTGAACAGGATGTTATTAATACAATGCACCCTACAGCTACATTAATAGAAAAGTATATATTGTATATTTCTTTCTTTTTGCTTTCTAGGATTGGAAGAGAGTCCTAAAAGTGCTTTTTCAAGAGACAACTGGACTTTCTGGTTGTTTTTTTCTTTGAAGACTTTTTGCTTCTCATCCAAGAAGCTTCTTCAGCTCTGACTGGATGGTGGGGAATGGAGGGATTTATACTCCTTGCAGACAGCTGGTCATTTGCATTATTTTTAACTAGTCATTGAGGCCACCTGGAGGTTTATCTGTGTCATCAGGGTCACCTGAATGGTGCAAATGGGTCTGGGGCCTTCTTGGAACTGTTGAAAGGACTGTTGTAGACTGGAGATAGGTGATGTCGTATCCTCCCACTCCCTCTGCCGAGACCTGATTGGAAAAGAGAAAAATTACTTTTCTACCTATGCAGTAGAAGGGGTTCGTGTACATATATGAATTATACTTGAAAATGAGTCTATATGTCACCACTATAGACATGATCTGGGTTTTCCAGCCAGAACCATTTCAAAACTGAGTGGACTTCCAGAATCGTTTCCCAGCCCGGGCACATTTTTCCCACCCATAAACTTCCCCCGCAGTCAGGCCAAAAGCTGAAACTAGGGGACAGCAAGTCCCACACACTGAGGCCAATTGCCACAATCATATCTCTCTCTCTCTCTCTCTCTGCCTGCCTGCCTGCCTTCCTTCTTCTTACCTACCTACCTACTTACTTTCCTAGTTTCTTATATTTCTTTAATTTTATTTCTTTCCTTACTTCTTTCTTTCTTTCTTTTTCTTTCCTTCCTTCCTATCTACCTATTTTCCTACCTTCCTATATACTTTTTCTTTCTTTTTTCCTTCCTTCCTATATACCTACTTTCCTATCTTTTCTTTCTTTTTTCTTTCTCTCCTTCCTTCCTACCTTTTTTCTTTTTCTTTCTT